GGCACCAGCATGCAAGATGGTGTATTAATATAGTCGCTCTCTAAAACTAAATTCCGAGTTTTATTTAAAAAACCCCGAGACAAGGAACACGACATTGTGATTCTGACACACTTATTACTTAAACATTGATTCATAATGTGCTGAAAGGTTTTTGTATTAACCGAATTCGGGTAAAAAGAGACTGGGGTGAAAGTACAATATTTGGTTTAAAAACTAATACAGTCTCTTTTGAAACTAAAAATGTTTCTTTTTCACCATTATTAAAGGCTCATCTAGTTGTAAAAACTTTCGACTTCATTAAAATTCATACACAATTAACCGCATTAGATATATTTATTTCATCTAATAATCCAATTAATGTCACAAAAATGTATTTAACTAAAAGAGAAGCCAAAATCAGGCAGTCACGAACTTTTACTACAATGAAACACTTTTATTTGTGTTTAATTCCCATTTTATTTGGTTTACTGCTTTATTGTTGGTCGCGTAGAAAACTTTACAAGTTCTCAACTCAAGTCCAAGGCCCTCCTACACTCCCTATACTCGGCAATGGTTTAAAATTCTTATGCAAAAAAGAAGGTAAGTCACGGTTGCGCACCTCAGTCCCTATTTCAAATAATTTCAGACATTTTAAACGTTTTTATCGAGTCTTTAAACCCTTACCCCTCACCAACAAGGATGTGGTTTGGTCCAAGATTAGTACTTTTTGTCAAAGACCCAAACCAGTTGCAGGTCCACAAACCAATGATTTTGAACGAAAAAATCAATTATTTTTTTAGAGTATATTACAATCGCCTAAAATGACCACAAAAGCTTTTTTTTACAAGTTCCTGGAGCCGTTTCTTGGACAAGGTTTATTTACAGCATCAGGGCCTAAATACAAAATTGATAAAAAAAATCTACAACCACTTTTTTCGCAAAAAATGATAACGGCGTATTGTCAAGTGTTCCAAAAACATGCGAATAAGCTTGTTGCGGGGATGAGGATGCATGTGGATGGGCCCGAATTTGATGTTTTATGCCATCTAAATTTTACTGCTTTCGAATCATCAATGGGTAATTTTTATGGCGAAAATAACAACAAAAAATTGTGTTTTTTGCAGATTTGTTATTAGAAGACAAAAATAAACACTCGATTGATTACAAAGATGTTCCACAATACGTTCAAAGGTCGCAAAAGTCGAAATTAAAATCAAAAATTATTTATTTCCAATTCCAGGTTTTACCACATATTTTTTAGTCGAATTACAAAGTTTTGGCTCCATTTTGATTTCATCTTCAAGCGAACTTCCTACTACAAGGAGCAAAGTAAAATGAAGGAAATGGCWAACACAATGATTGCAGAAGTGGGTTTTTATCACATTTAGACTTTAACTAAAAAWTTTTCACAGATAATGCACACAACGGTCCCCCAAGTCATCCAAAAACTGATCGAAGGTGGCAATTTTTCTAAGAAAAACACCTCAATGTTGGAAAAATTGGCTGAATTAGTGGTCGAAAACCCGAGAGATTTGAGTATTGAGGATTGTATTGACCACTTAATGACTTTTATGGCCACAGTTGAGTAATTAATTTTTTATTACAATATTTCTAATGGATTTTTTTAGAGTCAAGATTCGCAAAGCTCAGCCGTTGCRTTCACTTGTATGATGTTAGGCGCCTATCCCCACATCCAAGTAAGTAAAAATTGTCGTATTTAATGAAATTGTCATTTTTTTTTAAAAGGATAAAGTCGTAAAAGAATTRAACGAAGTAATCAATGATAAAGCGAGTGTCAATTTGGATGATTTATCAAAACTGGGATATCTGGATATGTGTCTCAAAGAATCGATGAGGTTATTCCCAATTGCTCCTTTTATTTTTCGAGACACGACTGAGGAATTTCAGTTGGGAAATCTCTCAATTCCGGAAAATGTGACTCTAACCTTGTCGATTTTTCACGCGCATCGGGACCCCAATTTTTGGGAAAAACCGGACGAGTTTTACCCGGAGCATTTCGCACCGGAAGTTGTGGCAAAACGCCATCCTTTTGCTTTTCTTCCGTTTAGTGCAGGTCCTCGCAAATGTATAGCTCAACAGTATTCGACCACTTACATGAAAATTCAGCT